ATATCATTGCTCATCTCATTTGTGGACCAGAACGGAATCAGCGTTACCCTGCCCACGATTGCCAAAGACCTCAACGCAGAAAGCACCATTTCATGGGCTGGCACCTCATCACTGATCGCAAACACCGTGTTTACGGTCCTGTATGGCCGCCTTTCAGATATCTTTGGTCGGAAGATCGTGTACCTGTGTGCGCTGGCTCTGCTGTGCATCGCGGACTTGCTGTGTGGCCTTTCTCAAAATGCCGCCATGTTCTATGTCTTCAGAGGTCTTGCCGGTATTGCAGGAGGTGGTATTGCATCTGTGACCATGATCATCGTCTCCGACGTGGTGACATTAAGAGATCGTGGCAAGTACCAGGGAGTCCTGGGTGCGTCTTTGGGAATGGGAAACGTCATCGGGCCCTTTATCGCAGCGGCCTTTATCATGAAATCAACTTGGCGAGGCTTCTTCTGGCTGATTTCTCCTCTGTCGGCATGCTCAATTATCGTTGGATACTTCTTGATCCCAAACAATGCCCGGCAGGATGGCCTCAGAACGAACATGCGTCGGATTGACTACTACGGCATTCTTGCCTCTTCAATCGGGATCATATTCTTACTGATTCCCATCTCCGGCGGTGGTTCTTACTTTGAGTGGGACTCTGCCATGGTGATCAGTATGCTTGCGATTGGAAGTTGTTCCTTGATTGCCTTCATTTTTATTGAATGGAAAGTGGCGTCACTGCCCATGCTTCCCAGTAAGTTCTGGCAGTTTTCACCTCTCAGATAAGATGGATACTGACTTGTATGACTAGTTGTCTTCTTTAAGAACAGAGTTCTTTGTGCACTGTTCATTCAAAGCTTTCTCTTGGGAGCGGTCTACCAGGCATACCTTTATTATTTACCATTATACTACCAAAACGCTCGAGGATGGTCTCCGATTGTGTCTGCAGCATTAACGGCACCTATGGTCACCTGCCAATCGTTGTCTTCCATCGCTTCTGGGCAGTACATTTCACGATGCAAGCGATACGGAGAGGTCATCTGGCTTGGTTTTGGTCTTTGGACGCTGTAAGTGTAAATGTGAACCGTCTTTTCCTTGTGATTATTCTAACTGAATTTCTATAGGGGCGCTGGCTTAACCCTGCTGTTCAATGTCCATACTAGTCCTGGTGCGATTGCAGTCATTGTCGGTGTGGTAGGGATGGGTGTTGGATTCACTTTCCAGCCCACCCTGGTCGCCATGCAGTCGCACTGCACAAAGTCCCAACGTGCCGTGGTTATATCAGATCGGAACTATTTCCGCTGTCTCGGGGGTGCGTGTGGACTGGCCGTCTCTGCTGCTCTTCTGCAAGCAACGCTTCGGTCCAATCTGCCCGAAGGATACCAAAATTTGGTGCACTCGACTTATTCGCTTCCCTCCCGGTCAAACGTTTCGGATGCAGACTGGGCTAGTATACTTGCCGCATACGCTAAAGCGTCGCGTGCAGTTTTCATCCTGCAAATACCTCTTATTGGAGCGGCGTTCCTGGCTTGTGTATTCATTCGGGATCGTGGTTTGGAGAGAGTCAAAGAGCCCGAGGAGGAAAAGGCAGAAGCGCAGCAGAAAGCACTTGAAGAGCAGCGCGCGAACGGTCTTTCGGCAGAGGCATCTGAGATCGAGGGGTCTGATGAAAGAGCAAAGGCCGAGCCAAGAGCAGATGCTGAGTCACCTGCTGCGAAGAATACATCGGAGAGCAATCAGGAGAGCAAGACGTCGTGATTGATGTCTACACCGAAGACGTTTCGTTCCGTGTCAATCCTGTGGATCGCATTAGATGCATCGGTGGCGTTTTGTTTTCATAGAGCATAGAGTAAAGCAACTTGATATAGATAATGTTTGAATTGAGATATGATCATTGATTTTGGAATGCTCATGAGAACACCCTGTGAATTGATACACTAAACAAACCAACGGAAGGAATGGTGGATTATAGATTCCGTATCTATTCTACTGTAGCAGAGTTAATAGAGAGCGTACCCTCAACAGACCCAAATCGGACAAAGTGAAGCTATTCCCGCCAGCGGGTCTAGTCTATTTCTGGACATGCCGGATGGAACCGCAAAAGTCTTGGCGCCGTCGGTTTCTCCGACGCATCTCGACTCCATCTCGACTCTCCAGGCATCTTCTTGCGATATCTGGAAATATACATATTCATCGCTGATAATTTGGGCGAGATGGATATGCTTCAATCTCTGCATTATGGATATCACTGAGCCTTCAACTTCTGCTTCAAGGGATTACAACCCTCGGAAGCGCGGGAGAACGGCCTGTTCACGATGTAAGACAAGGAAGCAGAAGGTGTGTAATGTACCTGTATGACTGAGCCAGGGATGCAGCTTTAACATGAAATAGTGTGACAATGAGTATCCTGTGTGCTCGAATTGCCAAAAAGCTGGAGCCGACTGCGATAAATCCAGCGTTCGGCAGGAGAATTCGTCGCAGAACCAGTCAGCGTTTTCCGTCCGTTTTTTCTGAGAATGAGGATACTAATTACCTACGATAGATATACACGTACTTTGGAACAGCGCATTGCGTATCTAGAGTCTCAATTAGAAGGCAAAATAGCCAGCAGCAATGCTAGCAACAACGCCACTCATCCCGTTGCTGCTTTACTATCGCCTCAGAATCAGGATACTCCTCAGACAGGCTCGATGGCTGGGATTGATAATAACCCAGTCGGTGAGCTGGCGGGATTCCTCGCTTTGAACCCCTCAGAGGCACCTGCATATGTGGGCTCTAGCTCTGGGCTTTCCCTGGCTGCAAATCTTGGAGAGATGGTTCAAGCAACGGTGTGGAATCAGATCCTCTCCCCTTTCTACAGCCAACAGAATCAATCTTCTAGAGGTAATGGGGTAGATTCAGGACCAAAGTCTACCGGCTTCCCCCCTCAACCACCGCATGCTCAGAGTGGCACTCGGAATCGAGCGTCCAGGGTAGAGGAGGTGCTTGCAAATAGTGCTGAGCCACCGAATGATGTCATGGGGACGAGGATCTTGAATGCATATCTCACAAGGCTTCACGTCCGCTATCCCTTTCTTGACAGGGACGAGTTGTGGCGGTTGCATGGGGATCGCTGCAGGCTAGCAAAGGTCAAACGTGAGGAGCTTTCAAAGGCTGAAAGGTTTGGGATATTCAAAATCTACGTGGTATATGCAATCGGAGCGACCCTGATCCAGTTGAGCGAGAAATACACATATGTGGCTCCTGAGGTACGTATTCCAATGGGTCTTTTTCTACCAACTCTGACCATTATAGCGATTTTACATGACCGCTCTTCAACATGTGCCAGCAATGTGTGAAACACGATCGGTGGAGAATATAGAGGCCATGACTCTTCTTGTAGTGTACCACCTTAGATCTGCATCAAATCATGGTATGTGGTACATGGTTGGTCTTGCCATGCGTACTGCCATTGATCTTGGACTTCATCGGAAAGCAAACGAGGCTCATCTTGATCCTTTTACTGCTCAAATGCGTCGGCGGCTGTTCTGGACGGTCTATTATCTAGAAAGAGTCGTGTCGATGTCTCTTGGGCGACCGTTCAGTCTTGCAGACAGGCATATCGATCTTCCCTTACCGTTGGATGTGGACGACGATGTGCGTGATCCAGCGCTGTTGACCAACCGTCAACCAACGGATAGACTGTCGACTTTGACATTCGCAATATACTTGACTCAGCTACGTCGCATTGATTCCAAAATCCAACACAAAATCTACCGGGCGGATCAACCGCTGCATGCCCTTCGATCGAAAATGGATGGCCTTTTCTTCGAACTGCAAGAGTGGAAGGAATCCGCCACGGCGCGTTTCAGTGGGCCTGATCTTGACTATCCCATGCTTCATTATAACAGGGCGCTACGGATACTGATCCAGCCCTTCTTACCTTCTCTTCCCCTCTCTGATCCATATTATCATATCTGTCTTCGGGCGGCCGGGGATATTTGTCAGACTCACAAAAAACTACATCAAACACCCGGGTATGGCCACTCATTTCTGGCAGTTCAGACGGTCTTCATGGCAGGCGTTACCCTTTTGTATGCCTTATGGACGCATACGGATGAAATATGGTCAGTCCAGATGAGCAACGACATACGCGCGTGCTCGACCGTTCTATTCGTGATGGGAGAACGAGCAGCATCAGTCAAGAAATACCGCGACGCATTCGAGTTACTTGTCAACGCAGCCATGGAGAAGCTTGAAGGCGACGAAACTGCCAAGAGTGTCGGTATGGCCGAACTGATGACTGCCCAACAAGGTGGGAATACCTTCCCCGGAGCTGGAACTGGCATGTTCAAACCCGAAGATGTTTCCACGACGAACCCACTGGGCGTGGCATCGGATGGGGGCTGGGGATCGCAGATGCAGGCGGACTGCGAGAACCACGGGGTTCGGATGGCGATGCAACTTGCTCCTTGGATAGACCTGAACCAGGAGAGTCAGTTGTGGATGCCTGATTTTGAGACATTTGAAAATATGTCTGGTACACTTTGGGGATGCGGAGATTCCACTCCATTTGATGCGCTTTGAGATGACCTCTCTGTGAGACATACTCTGTCTACGAAGACTGCAACACTCAGTCTTGAGCCAGCAATTTCGTGACAGCTTGAATACATATCATCGGAAAATCCTGATACTTCTCATGCTACAAGTCAGTCTACAAAGACTGCTAGATCTAATCTATGCTCCGAGGCAGCGATGCTACGTCACAGTTTGATAAAATGTCAAAACGAACCCTGGTAAACTTCTTCGACCAGACTGTTTGGGAGATCACTGCCTGTATACAAGGTCTACAACGCACCGCTGCAGCCTACTGTAGCTTTAGGTGGATGGCAACTTTCCTTCGATTTCCAACCTTCTATCATTCAACGACTTGATCACTACACTCCTTCACTATGCTGCCAACCACCAACGATCACTTATCAATTTACTATTCATAACCTCCTGTTTATCATTCATTACCAAACAAAATGGAATTCCCCAGTCTCGGATGTCTGGCTCAATTCCCATACGAGATCCGCGAACAAATCTGGCTACAGTTCATCCCCGACGGCCAGGATACCGTGCTTTTACGCACCCCAAAGACAGATCTGCGCATCCTCCGCGCTAGTAAAAGCATCCACGACGAGATATCGCTGTTGCTGTACCGACGGTCCTGTCTGGAATTCGACGTCTCCGCGATCTACTACCAAAGGAAGGAACGATGGACCACTGTCTACTTAAGGCGGGGCCGACAGGAGCGAGCACAACTGGAGGAGCCACAAGCTACGTGGATTCTTCGAAACAAAGAAGACGCGAGAACACGGGGCTTTGATAATCTTCCCTTCCACAGAATCGATCGTGTGGTTGCGAATCTCTTCGCGCCCGACCCTAAAGACGCAGGCAAGCTATTCTGTCTCTGGCAGAGAGTGCGTGCCCTAGTCGAACTGCTGAAGGGCGCGGAAAAGATTCGAAATTTGACCATCCGACTGTGCAAACGCGACGGCCAGGATTGGTTCGACAGAGATCGCGGAATGAATCACAGTATGAGGCTGCTACGAGGAGAAACCCACTGTGACCATGACGTGGCGGTGTTACCGTTCTGCACACTACAGAATGTCGAAAACATCACGGTTGAAGCTCACTCGGCGGAACTGGAGCAAAGGATGAACTGGCGAGTGATCAACGTGGGAAAAATCCAGGAGAGCGAGGCCCGGCTTGCTGTATCTCGACGCGTGGGGTTTGAGTATATGTGGCTGCATGCGGATTTGTGGAAATATGCGCCTGGGCGGACGGCGAGGCTTATGCGGTGGGATTTTCTCCGGCAGTGGTTTCTGCAGAAATGCAACGGGGAGTCTGAGTTTGAAGAGCGGACTCGGGGGGTCTTGGATGAGTTTCCGGAGCTACATCATAGGCGCCCTAGAGATATGATGGTGATTTCGAGTATGATTTACGATATGGTGTGTTTATATTACGATATGGAGGCACAGCAGGAGAAGAAGATGCACGAGTGGGAGGAGAAAAAGGGGATCCCGCCGGCAGCGTCTTTGGAGTTTTCCGAGACGTATGATGTGGATGAATTGTGGGAGAAGCATAGCAAGGGAAAGACAACGGAGGAGATGTTGTCTATATCGACATTGTATGAGAAAGGAGGTTGCGTTGAAGATGAATCTATAGGTGCTGAGTCTCTATAGCTATGGTACATATATACAATATTATACACGATTATTATAAACTGTGCGGCCTGGGATCAACCCAGAGAGGATCTAGATAGTAGATCAAGCCATGTCCGATAGAAGCAGCCAACGGACCAACCTGATTACTATGTTAGCATCATCTCATACAATATAAGATATGAAGCAGAAAACTCACCCAATGAATCCAATGATACCCCGGAAAGCCGGTCGCGACATAAACACCAAAACAGCGCGCCGGATTGACACTGGCCCCGATATAGCCCTCTCTCGTAAACGCCGACCCCCAACTGACAATCCCCAGCACAATGCCCACCAACCACGGCGACGCCGCATGGCCAAACAGCCTCGCCTGGCGCGGATCCAACGCAACCCCAAACTCCACATACACGAGAATCAAACAACTCATAAACTCAATCACCAGGGCATCTTTCACCGGCACGACGTCGGTGTCGAAATAGCACCCGCCGACGGTGAACTCGCGACTCCCGTACGCAGTCCGCATGGCCCAGCCAGCGAGCGCACCGCCGAACGTCTGCCCGGCTAGATAGAGCACCATGCGCGGGAAGGAAATCATACGGGCAAAAAAGGTGGCCATGGTGATGGTGGGACTGATGTGGCCGCCGCTGGAGGGGGAGAAGGTGTAGATGAGCAGCGGGATGAGGAGGAGGTTGGTGATGCCGCCGAAGAGGGGGGAGAAGAAGGTGACGGTGTGGTAGATGCCGGCTTCAGTTTTGGGGGCTGCGAGGGTGGAGGGGGCGTGGATTGTTACCCAGGAGGTGATGAAGGTGTTCATCATGCTGCCTATCATTCGTTAACACTCATCTTCGAATGTAGTATAGAAGGTAAATAGTATAAGAGGTCATACCAATGCACTCCAACACCGCAAACTTCCACAAATCCATACTCTTAAAGCCACGCAGATCAAAAACCTCAGACAGATGCATACTGGGCGCCGCATCGGGAACCTTCTTCAACAGCTTCGAATTCCGGGGATCGTTACGATCAAAGTATTCCTGGGGCCCGCCCAGTCTGCCCGCAAAGGGGGGAATGGCCGGAGACACGCTGGGTTGGCGTTCATGGCTTTCGTATTCGGGGAGGCCCGAGATGACGACCATGGCTGAGCAGACAGAGCTGAATGAGATGAAAAAAAGAAAAGACGTAAGGCTACATTTCCGTTTTCACGCGACATATTCACCTTTGTATATGCGGCTTAAGGAAAGACCCGGAAAGAGAGTGGATACGACAGCCGTTTGTTTCGCAGTTACGGAAGTTTGCATAGCCAGAGTTTGCGCAGCATTTCAGCTATTCGTCACACACAGCATACCAGTGACCACGAGTCAGTCGCCCGAGAAGGAACATCGGCAATCCGAAAAGCTGCAAGATCCGAAACGGGGAAAAGTGGAGCTGCGATAAGAAGGCAGAAAAGCTTCTGGAAGCAAACGATTTGGCAATTGCATTATGTCGTTTCAATGGGCGGGAGGAGCGTGATTGGCCGGATTAGCTGGAGAGATCGGCCCATGTGGACTGGGGTGGATTCGGATAAGATATTATAAATGAGGTTAATAATGCTCAGTCTGACAGTAACTGAGTATAAGCGAGATGGAAGAATAAATAGTATAATGAACAAGAATAGGAATAAGGATGAGGATAAGAGTATAAGCACTATGTTAGTATAGTGCACTCTGTAGTAGTAGAGACAGCCTGAGTGGCAATGTTAGTCATCATTCAGACATTCAGATGAAGAGAATGGAGAAAAGAAATAGAAAGAAAAAGAAAAGAAGACAAGAAGACAAGAAGAAGCCAAGAGCGTATTTAAAGGACAGCTTATCATTGCATCTGTCTTGACTCATTTGATGAATCAAGATATCAAGTGCAGTTATTAACCAACTTATCATCCCTGTTGAGATAAGACTCATAGCACACTTAGATTGCATTCTAAGGACCCGTGAAATCGAGTTTCCCACCCGTAATTCTTATTTAGTTTAGCTAATTATAAAGACAACTCATTATATCTACGATTTAACTCTTCTTTCTTATGACTCTTATTACTCTTAGGAGTTTCTGATATTGCATCTTTAACTATATCTATCTCTTTATACTCTAAAATTTCCCCTAAACAGAGGAATGAAATCCCGATAATATTGATATATCTAGTTCTATATCGTAACATCCATCTTCATGCTTCAGAATGAAACCTGTAGCTATTAGCATAAACCAGATATTCGATCATGTTCAACGTACTTGTACTACCCGGACCGAGGTATGACGTGCGGGGTCATCAGTATATCATCCCCAGAGCATACCAAGCAGAACATCTCATCAACAACATGAATTTCGACTTACCACCAGAATTAACTGCTTATGTCGAGTCCATTGACTCCTTCATCAAATCCGACATCCTCCCTCTGCAGTATTCAAACGACAATAACCGCTTCTTCGATCACCGACGGGAATACACCCGCACCGACTGGGAGAATGGCGGAATCCCATCCAAACAATGGGAGGACCTACTCCGTATTCACCCTCATCTGCAATCTAATAGATTAGTCTAATAAATCCAGAACAAGCCCGTGTTCTCGCCCAAAGGAATGGATTCTACAGCTTCGCCCTCCCAAAACCATACGGCGGATCAGGACACCCACACACCAACCTATACATGTCCGCGATCCGCTTCCACCTCGCCTCCCACCCAACCTACGGAGGAGGGATAGGGCTAGCCAACGATCTCCAGAACGAACACAGTATAGTCGGCAACTTTCCCGATCTCCTCATGCTGCACCACTTTGGTAGTGATGCGCAGCGGGACACGTACATTCCCGCCCGGCTAAGGGGGGAGTTTCGCGTGACGTTCGGCCTGACGGAGCCTGGACACGGGAGTGATGCGACGTTTATGGAGAGTGAGGCGAAGGCGGTGCGAGGGGGGTACGAGATATCTGGGGTGAAGAAGTGGCAGACGGGAGCGCATGCCTGTACGCATTTGATTATCTTTGCGAGAACGGGGGGGAAGGATGGCGAGGGGAGGGGGGTTACGGCGTTTATTGTGCCTCGGCAGACGGAGGGGGTGAGGGTTGTTAGTTATGAGTGGACGCTGAATATGCCGACGGATCATGCGACGGTGGAGCTGGATCGAGTGTGGGTGGGATCGGATGCGGTGCTGGGGAAGGTGGACGAGGGACTGGCGGTGGCGCAGACATTTGTGCATGAGAATCGCATTCGACAGGCGGCGAGTTCGTGTGGTGCGGCCAAGTACTGTCTGGATAGGAGTGTGGAGCGGGCGAGAGAAAGAAGGATTTGGGGAGGGAAGAGGCTGGCCGAGAACCAGGCGATACAGTTTCCTGTGGTTGAGCTGATGACGCAGGTGGAGATGTTGCGGTTGCTCATCCTCAAGACAAGCTGGGAGATGGATCGCATTGAGGGTGATCGGCCGTGGGTGGAGACTGAGAGAAGACTCAGCGATAAAGTTGCCATGTGTAACTACTGGGCGAATCGGTTGGTGTGCCAGGCTGCAGATGAGGCTATTCAGGTAGGACGATTCCGGCATCTGCAGTATATGGAGTGCTGATGAAGTAGATACACGGGGGCGATGGATACTCGCGACACTACCCATTCGAGCATATATATCGCCATTTCCGACGATATCGCATCACCGAAGGAGCAGAAGAGATCCAGATGCGCAAGATTGCTGCGTATCTTTTTGGCTTTGGGCCGAAAGAGAAGCTTTGATGGACAGTCCCTAACTCAGACATTATTCAGTCATTAGGTAAGTATATCATCCAACTATATTATACTTATTATACTTTGAATATACTAAGATTATTCTAAGATACACTCTGATATACAAATATTGAGATGTTGCCTTGGGCCACTAACCAATCAGCGTTGCCTAAATCCCCGCAATAAAACTGCAAATAACCTCAATCTGATAACATCACCATATCATCATGCCGCTTCTCAATCTGCCGACTGAGCTTCTATCGCGTATCGTTGCATATGTCGACTGGGAGTCTCTCCACCCACTGCGACTAACCTGCCAAACATTATCCCACATTGCAGTCAATCAACTCTTCAAAACAGTAGAATTATACCCAGATCAAGACAGCTGCAACAGATTTACAAGCATTCTGAGATGCAACCTCAAAAACAGGACGAAAAGGATAATTCTGCATAGCATCGAGGCAGATGCTGTGAGTGTCTCCCCTGGATAACCATCACGATCTAACAGAACAGGATCTGTGCGATGAATACGGAGGAGCCGATGGCGAAGAAGCCCAACTGCCAGGTTATTATACAGCCCTCATTCCTCGACTGGATGAATTCCCCAATTTGCACAGCCTGACGGTCCACTTTGACAAATACTGCTGCGTGCCGGACGAGAATGGCTACGTGAACTGTTCCCAGACATGGAATTTCCGCTCTGACGTGATGAAGCGGTTGTTCGCATCGACAGCGTCCCTACCTCGACTCAATCAAGAACTGGCAATCCGGCACATGCAGACTATCAATGTCAAAGATGTAAAGACACTGCAATCGATGGACAAGACTTTGCGGGGTCTGCGTTCTCTGCGGCTCGGCATCATCAGTGAATATGACAATACAAACCCAGAGATCACCGATCGAGTAGGCTCAACTATAAATGATATAGACACAGCTAACGAATGCAGCTCCCTGAACCGCATGACTTTTTTGACGAAATTCCCCCTCTGTGGCTGAAGCCCACCATGTCGACTCTCCAGCATCTCACTCTCTACTATCAGCACTGCTTTGGCTTCTACCCCAAACTCGATCTGCGTGGTGTTCACTTCCCCCATCTTAAAACGTTGGCTCTAGGAAACTACACCTTCATCCACGACACCCAACTCGACTGGATCCTCTCTCACGGTCACAGTCTCTGCGAACTCTACTTGGACGAATGTGCCATCGTCTTCGCAGCTCGAATGACCGAACCAGAAACCGTGCAACACTGCTATCTGGACTCGACACAGATCACCCGGTTATCAAACGAATACCACGCCACATATTCTGCGCGCTGGCACGACTACTTTTCAGCCTTTCAATCGGAACTGCCCCATCTCCGACACATCAGCATGGGGAGATCCGACTGGTGGCTCGGGATGCCGTTTGAAATGGAGGGGGAGATCGGCATGGGGCTACTTATGGACCGGTATATGATGTTTGATGATGAAACACGTCCCAATCCGTATATTGGGGGCAGCCATGTGTTTGAAGGAGAGTATGAAGAATGGCCATCTTGTACTGAAGAGGATAAAGAGGCATTGGGATCGTTGTTGATATCGACTGGGCAGATGAAAGAGGATATCATCGTGGAGTAATGATCTCACTGACGAATGACAATCCGTCATTAATAATGATGATAAGTATCCACACCTCGTATAAGTGTGTACACAAAAGTACGAATTAAACTCGGAATAGCAGGTGCATCGCATCCCTGCAGCCCGAATATGACAGCTCAACATGCGGGGTTGAATAACGCACTGCTGCAGACTTTTAAAAAGCATTCTGTGTAACACTGCTTCCCCTTTTCATCATCCCAAAATGGGTTCTTTTCAGACATACGCTGGCTATCTTTTCCTGGCCATCATCATCATTCGACTTGTTTCGAACAAGTTCAGACTATCTGGCATTCCAGGTCCATGGCTTGCTGCGTATACTCGACTGTGGAAGGTATACGATGTGTGGAAAGGCGACGCCCATCAAAATGCCATCCAGCTGCACCGGAAATACGGCAAGATGGTTCGCATCGGGCCTCGCCATGTTTCATTCAGCGATCCAAAAGCGCTTCCAATCATCTACGGACTGGGAAAGGGGTTTAACAAGGTGAGTCTATTTGGTATGGATGAAGTGAGCAGCGCTGATAGATGCAGACTGCATTCTTCCCGCTGCAAAGCATCGTATGGGAACAGAAACCACAGATGAACCTCTTCTCCACCCGAGACGAACAATATCACCGCGAACAGAAACGAGCCGTCGCCAACGCGTACAGAATGAATTCGCTGTTGGAAATGGAGTCGTCTGTGGACTCCTGTACGGATGTCTTCATCTCGCAGATGGGCAAGTTTGCAGACGCAAAGAAACCGGTGGATCTGGGGATATGGCTACAGTACTATGCGTTTGATGTTGTTGGGGAGTTGACATTCTCGAAGAAACTGGGCTTTCTGGGAGAAGGACGCGATGTAGATGATATGATACAGGCTATTCAGGGACTGCTGCTGTATGCGAGTGTGTGTGGGCAGATTCCTGAAGCGCATCCATTTCTACTTGGGAATCCACTGCTGCCGTTGCTTATCCCGAGTATGGAGAACTGGAATCAAGTGCTGCGGTTTACCTTGAAGGCGATGAGCTCACGCATGTCGGTGCACAACGATGGGAAAATAGAGCAGGACAGCGACAGCACTGGCAAAGACAT